TAAAAGAAATAGACTGGTAGAGTGGATTAGGGACCAAAACCCAACAATATTCTGCATACAAAAAGCACACTTGACCCTTTAAGACATTCATTAGCTGGAAGTTAAAGGATGGAAAACAATACTACATGCTCCAGGACCTCAGAAAAACAGGGTTAGCTATTCTGTCTGCAGACAATATGAACTTAAAGCCAAGAATGATTAAATGAGACTAAAATAGATCATTCACTACATACTTGTTAGGGGAAAAAATCAAGAGGAAGAGATAATGGTCATAAGTATATATGCACCAAATATGCAAACACCAAACTATATAAGAAAAATTTTAGTAAACATGAAAAATATACTGACCAATAACACAATATTAACAGAGGAAATTAACAACCACTTATCTTAAAGAGAAAGGTCAAGCAGCCAAAAAAATAGCAAAGGGTTAGCAGAACAAAATTAAACTTTGAACAAATGAATTTATTTATTTTTTTCTTTTCAAAGTTTTATTGAAAAACATATAGCAATGAAACAGTTTCAAATCAAATTGAAAGTACAGTTTCAACACTGCATATATTCTTCTTAGTGGTTAATTGCTGTACAAGATGCAGACTTGTGATCCTACTTACAAACACCATTAGAAAAAATCATTCTATTCATTAAGAGAATGCAACTATATATCTATCCCGACCACTTTGAATACACAGATACACAATGGACATTCATAGTTATACCCCAATTTTTTTTAAGTTCCGTTGTTGAATATTATAGGTGTGTAAACTCAGCAAAATATTCTAAAAGATGAACAAATGAATTTAATGGACATATACAGAATATTCTACACAATAACATCTGAATACACATTATTTTCAGCTGCACATGGGACATTTTCTAAAATGGACCACACACTAGTCCATAGAGCATGCTTAAGTATATTCAAGAAATTAGAAATTATCCCATGCTTATTATCTGACCACTGTGCAATAAAATTGGAAATTAATTACAGAAGAAAACACAAAAAAATAAATAAAATGAAATTAACTAACACCCTCCTCAACAACCAATGGGTTAAAGAATTAATTAAACAATATCTACAATCCAACAAAAATTCAAACCCAACTTACTAGGATTTGTGGCATGCAATGAAAGCATCTTTCAGAGGGAAATTTGTAATGGCAATTCACACATTAGAAAAACAGAGCGAGAAAAAATGCATATCCTAATGCTCTCTCTATATCTTCTAGAAAAAATAGAGCAAACCAAACCCAAAGCCCAAAGATAGAAGGAAATTATAAAAGTGGAAGTGAAAATTAATGTAATTGAGACAAAGGAAACAAGAAAAAGATTTGATAAATCCAACGGCTGGTGATTTGAAAGGTCAAAAAAATTAATAAACCCCTAACATAATCAAAAAGAGGAAAGAAAAAACTCAAATTTGACAAATAAGGAATGTACAGGGAGAAATTACTACAGATCCTGTGGAAATTCAGAACATCATCAGTAGCTATTTTGAACATGTTTACTCTCACAGGATCGAAAATACAGAAGAAATAGATAAATTCCTAGATAGGTACAAATTTCCAAAATTGAATAAAAAAGATTTAAAAACTCTGAATAGCCCAATATCAGCCAATGAAACTGAAAAATGTAACTTAAAAAACATACCAACAAAGACCAACAAAGAAAAGTTCAAGTCTCCTCAAATTCTTCAATAAAACTTAAAAGTAAACAATACTCCAAAAATCACCCTTGGAGGCAAATATACTGATTGCAAGACAGTGTAAAGATCCAATCAAAAAAGAGAACCATAGGCCAAACTCCTTCAAGAATACAAATGCAAAAATCCTCACTAAAATACTAACAAATAGAATATAGAAAATCATCAAAAAGATTATACACAATGACTAGATAGAATTCACCCCAGGCATGCAAGTATGGTTCAATATCCTCAAAACTATAAATGTAATACACTATATCAATATCAATAAGTCAACTACCGATTTGATTTGAAACTGTCTCATTGCTATCTGTTTATCAATAAAATTATGAAAAAAAAAATCAATAAGTCAAAACTTTAAACAGCATGATCATCTCAGTAGGCGCAGAAAAAGGCTTTTGACAAAGTCCAACATTTATTCATGATCAAAGATCTACAGATAAGAGCCATCTATGACTAACCAACAGTCAGCATAATACTAAATGGAGAAAAACTCCAAGATTTTACTTTCAAATCTGATGCAACACAAGGATGTCCTCTATCATCACGCCTATTCAGAATAGTTCTGGAATCTTTAGCTAGAGAAAAGAGAGAGAAATAAAAGAAATAAGAATAGGTAAAGAAGAAGTTAAACTACCATTATTTGCAGATGACGTGATACTCTATTAGAAGATCCAAGAAACTCCACAAGAAGCTCTTAAGAATTAAAAAAAATCCAGTAGCATAGCAGGTTACAAAATCAACACTCAAAAATCAATAGCATTTCTCTACATAGATAACAAATTCACTGAGAGAGAAGTTACAGAAAAATACACCACAGAAGCATTCATAAAAATGAAATACTTAGGAATTATTCTAGGAAAGGAGGTAAAAGATCTATACAAAGAAAATTACAACCCTCTACCAAAAAAAAGAGAGATTGAAGAGGATTTCAGAAAATGGAGAGATATTCCTTGCTCCTGGATAGGAAGAACCAACATAGTGAAAATATCCATACTCCCAAGATTGTTGTACAGATTTAATGCAATCCTTATCAAAATACCATCTCCATACCTCACAGATCTAGAGAAAACATTCTTGAAATTTATTTGGACCCAGAAAAGACCTAGAATATTAAAGGCAATCTTAGGCAACAAATGCAAGACAAGAGGCATTACAATCCCACACTTGAAATTATACTACAAAGCTACTGTGATAGAATCAGCAGGGTACTTTCAAAGAAACAAGATCAACAGAACAGATTAGAAGAAGCAAAAGCAACTACAAACACAATTAGGCATCTTATCTTTGATAAAGTGGCCATATATTTTCTTTAGAAGAAAGATAACCTCTTTAACAAATGGTGCTGGAAAAACCGGCTCCTTACATGTCAAAAACTAAAACTAGACCCAGGCCTATCACCGTATGCTAAACTAAAGTCAAACTAGATTAAATATCTAAACATTAAAAATAAACACTAAACCTCTTGGGAGAGAAACTAGGTGGAAATCTTACAGATATAAGAGTAGGCAGACAGTTCATGAACAAAAGCCAAACTGCATGAGAAATACTTCAAATAATCAACAACTACAATCTTATCTTTGAGAAGTTTCTGTATGTCAAAAGAAATCATCAACAAAGTAAATGGATTAAATATCTAAACATTAAAAATAAAACTAAACCTCTTGGGAGAGAAACTAGGTGGAAATCTTAAAGGCATAGGAGTAGGCAGACAGTTCATGAACAAAAATCAAACCAGAGAGAGAGAGAGAGAGAGAGAGAGAGAGAGAGAGAGAGAGAGAGAGAGAGAGAATGTCCATACAGATTGAAAGACACTGTCAAGACTGTTCAACTTTCATCACACAACATGTATTAATGAAGCACTTACTAGGAGTTCACTGTGGTGCTAGGGACTTGGGATAACTCAGTGAACAGTGCCGGCAAAGTCTCTTGTCCTCTTCGTAGCTGAGGGATAGACAGTAGAAATCAGATCCAATGAAACATAAATTGTGTGATAAACCATATATGCACCACTATGTGTTCTTATAATACGTCATATTAATACAAATCACACATCGCAAGTTAACAAGGGGCCCCTCAGTGTGGAAAATGCAGTGTTCAAAAGGGGTGGAGTGATACAAACACTGGGGGTGTATAAATAAATAAATCTGTGCATATTGTGGAGTCCTCTTCATGTGGAAAGGGGATGAGGAATGGTACACACACTGGGAGGGTCTCAAAGGCAGCATACCTAGACTGTGTGATATAGGATTCTATTTCCACAATTCTCAAAACTCCCAATGGTGAGGACATAAAACAGGTCAGCAGTTGTGAGGACCAAGTGATTGGAGGGGGCACAGGAGAGCCTGGGCAGTTGATGGACAGCATTATATCTTGAGGGCCATGTGTGTATTCTATGTGATAGATGGGTCAGAATTTGCAGAGCCATGACCTAAAAGATCAGACTTTACTATATGTAAATCATACCTCAAATTTACTTAGAGGCAAAATCAGATGACCCAGAGACTCATCAGGTGAAAGGAGCAGCTAAGTCATAGACTAAGGCAGGTGTGAACCTACCTGAGGATTGCAAGAATTAGGTGTCCATTGTAGCTGGAATCAGAGTACCTGTCAGGTGCACACCAGACCTGGTAGATCTCTAGGCAAAAAAAATACACTGTGTGTGGCACTGTATGCCCATAAGCCTAGTTCTCTGCGAACCTGAGCCAAGAGGATCTAAAGTTTGAACCCAGCATGTTCAACCTGGAAATCTAATGAGATTTTGACTCAAGAGAAAAAGATGTCCTTAGATGGGTTCAGTGAGAAGACTCTGAATTCTGTCCCCAGGGCATGCAGACACAGATTATCTTGATTCCAGATACTTGGGCTCCCCTCCCCTGATATGATTAGAAGCAGAACAGCCGCAGGCGGTTTGTCTAGACGGGTGCTATGTTGATCTCTAATGTTTCAGCCTTCAGGCTCTGTTTCAGCTTTCCATCTCTACTTCTTCTGGTACCCCAGGGCAGGCCAGCCCCAATTGCCAATCCTTATAAGATCCTCAAAAGCTCTAGACAGGAAGAAGCTCACAGAAAACAGCACCACAAAGGACAGCCAGCCCTGAAACCCGCAGGAGCCAAAGCCAGGTGAAACACCAGCCTCTCCCTGTGCTTCCTGCTGTAAGAGCCCTAGCTGCTTTCTTGTCTGTGTTCTGCTGTGTGTGTTTCCCTCTTGGCCTTAGACCATTGTTTTGCATCAGTGGACAGCTAGGAGTTTGAGATCCTCCTTTCCCCTTACTTCTGGAATTGCAGGTGGTGCCAACATGAACAGTTTCAGTGATGTTTTAAGAGCACAGACTCTAGTGTCCTTCTCCACTTATTACTCAGACTGTCTGGATCTCTATAGGGATACTCACAGGACCTGCCACCTGATACAGTTGTTGAAAGTGAGTCACTGGGTGTCCCATGCTCAGTGTAATGCCTGGGCACAGGGCTGAACCATGAAACTCTTTGCTGAGAATACCTGCATTTCCATCTCAGTATCCTCCAGCTTCATGACCCCGAGACCTTGTGCTGCAAGGTTCGACCATAGCCTTGGTGTCTCTGTCTCTGTCCCTCACTGTCGCTCCATCTTCAGTCTTCCTACCTTTCTGTCTGCTCTTAGGTAGATCTCACACTGTCTTCTCCCAGGACCAGGACAGTGAATGATCCTTTTCAATGTCTGTCCCAGGCAGGGGTGGGTAAGAAACAGCTGGTGTGGGGTGTAACATACATAGCGGTATACAGCACAGAGTCCAGCATAAAGGCTCACTACCCAACAGTCAGCAATGGGCAGAGGAATGGCTCACGGTCATTGGGAGATTCAGGGGATGTTCTGGGTCCATGCCCAACCACACACAGGTAGATGTCAGAAATGCACAGGGTAAGAACCTCTGACCTATGTTAGGGTTTTATGGCCAAGGTCTCAGAGTCCAGTCAGTATGGGTCTTTTCTGGCCGCTCCTGGAAAAGTGGTGGAGCTCCCCAGAGTCACCTCATCTCTTCCTCACCAGGTGCTGACATGGGTACCACAGCACGAATCCTCTGGATCTGTCTCCTGGGATCCATCATCCACATAGCTGCAGGTATCTGAGTCTGGGGGTGTGGGCTAGCCTGTGTGTATCCACAGTGTGAAATATTGTCCTGCACATAGGCTACCTGGGTGTCTGCATGACACCAGGCTAGAAAAGCAGGCTGTGGAGAGGCAGTAACTGGACAAAGAACCCAGTGCTCCTTCTCAGTGGGCAGAGTCCCAATGTCTCTGTGCCATGGTTTCCCCACCTGGAAGGGTAGTCTGAAAGCAGCTTAGATAACATTCTAAATGCACATCCCCTGGCTCCAGCATGGGCCAGTGCCCCAATGTTAGCTATTATTAGCACCAGGACAGCACTATTCCTGGGCCTTCTGCCCCAGCTGGCAAATAAATGTAGCATCCACTTTCTCCCTGCGGAAATCCCTGCACCTGAGCCCCCAGAGAAGGTGGCTGTGTAGAGGGCTGTGGTCCAGGCAGGGTAGGACTTGTCCCCCCAAATGACTGTTCCCTGGGCCCTTCTGTCTACTCTGTGTGTCCAGCAGACAGAATCTAAGGTGTGGTGGCCTCAGTCTTCTGTTCAGCATAGCTGCCTCTCATGAGGAAGGGAGCATGTGTGGTGGCTCTGGGTCAAGCCACCGCGGTGGTGGAGCACAGGTGTGAAGCCTTGAACTTAGAGAACAGGTCTAGCCTTGGAACTGTTATGCTTGAGCCACAGAGGCAGAACCTCCTACCGTGCCCATGCTTCACCTTCCTGATATAACCCATGCCTTAGTAAGCCTGAGCCTCCCAACCGCTAACAGATCCACTTCCTGCTTCTGCCAGATTCTACCCACCCACCGAATCCACTGTTCCTTGATCTTGCCCCCAGGAGCCGTGATTCACTCGGGAGAAACCAGCAGTCAGGAGCCAGATGAGCTACTCCCAGCCAGCGAACACATTTCTGGTGGCTTGGTTTGCACTCCACATGCGCAGCCCTGGCAGGCAGCACTGTTCTACAACAATGATGGATACTGCTCAGGGGCTCTGGTGCATCCCCAGTGGGTGCTGACAGCTGCGCACTGCTGGAGGCCGTGAGCAAGCACAAGGGAGGGTGGCTGCGGGAGGGGTGACGTGGGTGTTTTAGGGAGTATAGCCTGAGCTCTGGACTGGGTGCAGTATGGCTTCTGGGGGTGGGGAGGCTTGTGGGAGGGGCTTGCAAAACTGGGAAGGTCAAGGTCCAGGCTGCTGCGATTTGAGCAGAGAAGGTGGGGTCTTTACCAAGGATTAGGTTCTATCACGACAGAGGGACTAGGCCAGGGACTAAGGCGGCTTGGTCAGTGATGAGATTTTGAAACTCTAGGCCTGTAACAAAGGTGGAGCTACAGTCAGAGGGGAGGCATGGCTGGGAGAGCCACTTCCCAGGTTAGAACAATATTCACCGGTTTTTTTGCCATAATTTTATTGATAAACAAATAGCAATGAGACAGTTTCAAATCAAATCGGTAGGACAGTTTCAATAATTAAAACACTGCACACATTCTTCTTAGTGGTTAATTGCTGTACAAGATGCAGACTTGATATCGTATTTGCAAACACCATTAGAACAAATCATTCTATTTATTAAGAGACTGTAATTACATATCTATCCTAACCACTTTGAATACACAGATACAAAATGGACATTCATCTTTATCCCCCTTTTTTGTTAAGTTCCATTATTTGAATATTATGGGTGTGTAAACTCAGCAAAATATTCTAAATGAGTCCAGGAGACCATAATAGTATTGGGCCTTCTGCTTAACTGGCAATGTCAGAAATTGTTGACCTGAGTCCCGTACAGCTCAAATAACAGCATGGCTTTAATTCTTATATTTTGTTTTTATACTACAACATTCACCTTTCTTTGCTGGGTTTAAAGGATAAGCAGAGACTCCAGTATGGGTCTAAGCATGGGGGAGACTGGAAGGGGATGGGGAAGAGTATGGTGCTGAGAATGAGTGGGGGATGAAGCAAGAATTGGGGTATAGTTTCTACAGTACTGACTGTCCAACCGCCCTCAGATCCTACACCATTGGGCTGGGACTGCAAAGAATTTACCCTCCATATGAAGCAGGAAGTCAGATGATTGAGGCCAATTTCTCCGTTAAGCACCCAAACTATGACACACCTTGGAAAGCCTATGACCTCATGCTCATTAAGTTGAGCAAACCAGTTGTGGAATCAAACACCATCCGGACCATCCACATTGCCACCCAGAGTCCGAACTCTAAAACCAGGTGCATGGTCTCCGGCTGGGGTCAGCTATCGGATGGTGAGTTTTGGTGTTGTCTATGGATTTTTTGACAGCCATGGCTATATCTGCCCAATAGTGTACCTGATCATGCATCATTTCTTACAGGCCAGTACCCTGCTGATTTGCAGTGTGTTTATCTTCCTGTGGTATCAGAGGAGTCCTGCAGAGCACTGTACCGGAACTTGTATCATTCCAGTATGTTCTGTGCTGGCGGCGAGCACCAGAAGGACACTTGTCGTGTAAGAGACTATAACAGGCGGGCAGGTGGTCAGAAAGGAGATAGGGGTATAAAACCCACAGAGGAGACAAGGTCATGAAGGAACAAAGGAATCTATCGAGCCTTTTGGGGCTATGATGTAGTTCCATAAGAAAATGTGGGTGCAAAGAGAAACAGAGAGAAGACACTTGGAGGGTGAGGAGGAAACTGACGACACACAGAACAGAGGCCACAGAGAAGGCAAGGAGAGCCAGACAGAACAAGCAGCTGGTACAGCCAGGCAGAGCCATGCTGTTAAATGATAGGAGATGGAGAGAAAACCCCAGGAGTGATAGAAGGAGGCTCCAGGGAGATGGAGCACACCTTCAAGAACAGACTGGTGACTACATTCAGGATCCAAGCCCTACTGTCAAGCACAGCTTCATGTTCAACTCCAGTGGGCCCCCAGCACTAGGCCCTCTCCCAGACCCCTTCAAGGGACCTCAGCCAAGACAGGAAAAGGAGGGCAGGAAGGGGGAGAGCTCCTTACAGGACTTCTCCAAGTCTGGGAGGGAGGGAAAGCTGGTGTTTGAGAGGCAGGACTTTCCCTGCCTTTCTATAGTGCTGTGATTTGATGGCTTGGTCTTAAGGATGCAGCTCTCCAGTTGGGCCCTCGAGTCTCTGTACCTTCACTGTCCTGGGCAATCACCAGGGTCTCAGTTTGTCTCCCCATCACTCTGCCTCCTGCACCCCCATGTGTCTCTGGGGCCTTCTGGGTCTGTCTCCTCTGCTTCTGTCTTGGACTTGCCCTGCTGCCCTTCTGCTCCTGCACTGTGTACTTCTGCCCTGTTCCCTCTCTCTGCTTTTGTCTCTTTGTGCTTCTGGCTCTCTGTGTGGCTCCCTCCCTCCTCCTCTCTACCATCCCTAACTTGCTCTTCTTTTCCCTCAACAGGCAGATTCTGGAGGCCCCTTGGTCTGCAATGGAGTTCTGCAGGGCCTTGTGTCCTGGGGATTCCCTCCCTGTGGGCAAGCTGGGTTTCCAGGCATCTACACCAACCTCTACTTATTCAACGAGTGGATAAGGAAAGTTACACAGACTAGATAAACATGGATAATTTCAGGATAAAGAATCCAACCCCACCTTCCTAATCTGTCCTTTGGCTCCATGTATCCTAAATGTTTATTGGAATTTATTGAAACTTTTTTACTAGTATATTAGAGATTGTTAATGCCTTGCTTATTTAGTTCAATTAAGATTGAAAGCAGAGCTTTCAAGCATCAAACACTTACTGATTTTAAGATGTTTTGACATCCTTGTGTTCTGGAGACACCTGATACATGGTAGGGATACCAATGTACTTGTCCCTAATTACCCTACAAAACAGCTTCACAGAGACAGGTTCAGTGGCTGAAATTGTGGAGCTCAGAATGGCTACAGTGATGCTTCAGTGACCATGGCAGATGGGTAAGGGGAGACAAAGGTAGACAAGGTGAAAATTGAGAGAGAGAGAGAGAGAGAGAGAGAGAGAGAGAGAGAGAGAGAGAGAGATCCCCATTCCACAAAACAAATAAAATATAATGATTTCTATTGCAAACATGTACCAATAAGAAATTAGTGAGCTGGAAGCATGATTGAGAAGTGAAAGACTTAAAACAACTCAAAATAAGTGTTGGATCACCTAACTCAAGTAAACGGTAGCATAGCACGCACTCACAGATGCCCACACTTCCATGCATGTACATGTGCACACACACGTGTACTCTACTGCAATGCCAACCAGCAGAGTTCAAGTGCTTGGGCATAGGAAGTGCAGCTGCGGACTTCATGGTGGCCTTGTGCTGAGTAAGCAAAGATAATCCATTGGTGATTCTTCATGATTCTCCATAATCCATGGAGAGTCTGACTCAAACAATGCCCATACTTTCCTTTCTCTTCTCCTTGCTCCCTAACACACCACTGATCAGAATGAACCATGTAAGAGAATGCTCATTCTTGGGCCTGTAGAGAAAGAGACATGGAGCCAAAAAAACATCAGGAGCACATTGGAGAGGGAGGAAAGAGGAACATGCCTGCTACATTTCAGAAGAGAGAGCAAGGAAGGAATGGGGAAAATCCCAGGCACTATGGGAGGAAGACTGAGAGAGACCGACAAGAGGCATGGACAGACATGTAGAGGCCCTGCACAGAGGATGCAAGTGGCCAATAAAGAAGGAGAGGACAAGCAACCAAGGCAGGGAGAGTCAGGAGTGAGGCAGAGCTAAGGGAGGAAGGCGGTGACCTCAGGCCAGCAAGGGACACACAGGGCATGAGGAGTCACAGACCTTGCCACCTGGGGGATCTTGGCATCATTAGTAATGTCAAGTCTGGCTTTCCCACAGAGGTAACAGAGGAGACAGTGGCAAAGTAGTCTAGTTCAGCAGGTTTCTGTCCAGTCACTCTGCAGTGACCATTGACAGTGGGGCTTCTTTAGGTGGCCAGTGCTTGAGCAGAGAACAGTCAGAGAAAGGAGAAGTCCCTGACTCCCTTTCTTCTGTGATGGCCAGAGAATGAGGTGTCCAACAGCTATCTTCCCACTCCTCCTTGCTTCCCTTTGCTCCTTCCTGGTCCCCCGAGGGTGGACCAAAACAGCCTGCCTCTGAGTCCCACTCTCTAAACTAGCTTACATCATAGCTACATCCTGGGCCACCCTGAGAGGTAGGGAAGTTTGTTTGTCACCCACAGGACCACTATCCCATTCCCACCTCTCCAGATGCTGTGGCCATCTCTGAAAAGGTGGCCAGGAAGCCACCTGTAGTGTGCAAGGGGTCAGGGAGAGCTCAGGCCATCCTCCCTACTCCTGGATAAGTCACAGCTAGACCTCTGGCATGTTATACAGCATTGGCAGGGCCATTTTTGTGAAGCCATGGCAGCTGTAAATCCAGCATAAGTGTCTCCCCATGAGCTAACCTTGAACTGCCACCAGGTCAGCTGTAATGACTGTGGATGGACTACACCAGTCCAGGAGATATCTACACTGACCAATTTGGCTTGAGTTGACACACAGAGGCTAAACTGAATTGGGACTAATTAGTGTTCTCAGATCTGAGTCTTGAATATGGACCAATTTGGACCAATCAATAGGCCTGGATTTGTACTAATGACAGACTAAATGTGGACAGATTGGCAGCTTGAACTCACACCAATTAGTTCATTCAAATCTAGGCTAATCATAAATCTCACTTTCAACAAATCAGCAGGCTCATATTTGAACCAATCACAGTCCTGCTATAAATATTTCAGTAACACTGGGCTCTCACTTTTGAGGTTCATTTAGAGTGTTCTATTTCATACACTGGACCAATTGTTTTTGCAGCATAGGTCTTCTTCACATAAAGCTTGCCCTGGCCATCCTGTAAATCTACTCAGGATTCTTACCCCAAGAAATGTGGACAGAGTGCTTTCTTTAAAAAACAACTTATAAATCCTTGGGTCTATCAGCATAAGAGCTTCAGAGACCAGCAGCCAAAGAAGAGCAATGACAGAGACTGTGTGACAGAGATTGTTAACCAGCAGAGCTCACTAGCATTTAGTGCAACCAGCCAGCAGTGGCTATAACCAGCACGGCTGTAGGCATAAATGAGCAGCAGCAGAAAAGATAGATGAGGAGACATGAGAATACAGAGAGGGTCAAAGAAAGAAAGACGTGGGAAGGGGGAGACAGACAGAGAGACAGACAGACAGAGGCAGAGATGAGAGAGATAGAAAGACTGAAATCCCTGGAGAAATATCACCTCTCCTTCATTATCATACCACATGTTTCTGTTTTGCTGCTATCCTTTCTGTATTTACTCAGAGCAATCTTTTTTAAAAATAAGATTTAGAGGAATATTTTTATCTTCACTACCCCAGAATGGTTCACTGTATGTCTGTTTCTGTTGCTAATTGCTTGTCACATTTCTGTGAGCAAGGTTTTTACTGGGACCTAGGCAAGTTCCCCCACTGCCTGTATGGGGGTACAGTAAAGGATGAAATAAAAGCCACAGGCAGTTTTAAGACTGCATGATATTGGGCTAGGTGGTCAGTCCCGAGAATGGGCAAAGACAACGACTCTCCAAGCTTGCCTATATTTATTAAGTATATACACATCCTTAAAGGGCTAGTGAGTAGCCCCGGGAACACCAGTGGTGATTGCTGTGGGCTGGTGAAACTGACAAAGCGTTCTTGCAAGGATGAGAACAGGCTTAATAAGGGTAAGCCTTTCACCTTTTTCCCCAGGTGAAACTTTTGTTATTGCTATTGCATTTTTCTAAAGATCTTCCTCATCCACAGCATGTCTTATCCTGCCCTGTGAACACCACAATGTCACCAACCATAGAAGCTTCAGCTGTAGGTGGGAGAAAGTGGGTGTTTGTGAGTTCCAATCCAGCCTATAGGGTAGGACAAGGATGGCCTTGGAGAGTCCCAAATCTGAGTTTATAATTTGTGGCACACAACAAGGAGTCATTTACCTTACTTGTTCTACATTTCTGTCAGTTCTGCTCCCAGGGCAGGTGTAGCACTCATACCCATAAACCCAACACTGGACCATTAATCAATCATAAACTCTAGAAGCCCCTCACCATGACTGTGTGGGGCTTTGGAATGACATCAAGACACCAATCATAACAATTTCCTTCAAAATACTCTCGTCTGCTTCAAACACACTTAGCCCATTGATCTGGAGTCCCTTTGAAACTGTCCTAGCAGTGCTCCTGTGTGAGTGCCTTTTTTAGCTGTGCTGTCACAGCTGGCTCCATGTCCTGGATCCATTCAGGAATTTACATCTCATCATTATTTTAACTTTAGGGACGAGCCAGAGTCACTCAGTCCCAGACCAAGTAAATAAGATGACAAGGACACTGGAATGTTCTCATGAGCCTAAGCTGCCCTCAGATGGCCCTCTGCAGGCTCCTCACCCTGTGTTTACCACCTCTCATGAAGACACAGAAAAGGACTTCCAGAGCTGCTTCAGAAAGCAGCGAGCACAGCAGCCCAAGTACACTCAGAGCGAGGGGGTGAACTATGATGAAGTTTCATGGCAGAGTGTGGGTTACTGTAATGAATATTAAAATGACAATCACCACAAACTGAATTATTCCTTGCAGTATTGAAGAAAGGCAAGGTAGGCAGAACCATCTCATGAGATCCTGACATATTACACATATATCCTAATGGCCATAAAGCCATTAAGTAAATCGGTGGATAAGCAGAGCCCAGAAATCACTTATGCCTGTGGGAATTTGCTGTCTGATAGCGGGCACATCTGCAAGCCCAGAATGAACATGAGAGGGTGAGTTTGCTGAGACTGAATAGATTTCATCCTCCCACATCAGCCTCAGCATTTTAGGAAAAAAGTTCAAGAAGAACCTGAGTCTTTTCTCAGATTGGGGTCAGGCCGCGGTGAGGGATCCTGACTCTGCTGGGCAAAATATCTAAGGGAAGGAAGTGGACCTTGAAGATGGGAGCTGCCCAAGAGAGCCCAGAGGTCCTGTGTGTGGGGTATGGGCCTCACTCCAGAGAGCAGCTGGTGAGACACTGGGAACCTGGATGCAGTGTTGTCTTTTCCTTGGAAGGCCACGGGTGCAATACATACAATAGGAGAGTGCTGAGCTTTCCGTGCTGAGCTGTCCTCCCAGTCCCTGCCTGGGCCTGATCCTTTCTCCCTTGCAACATTAGGACCCTGAGGAAGCGACCTCTCTTCTGTGAATTTCCTCAGCTCTGAAACTGTCCCAAAAGCACAGTCATGAGGAACAAGGGACAGCTTGGAGAGGTCAGAGGTCACACAAACGCTGTTGTTCATTTTTTTAATAATTTCATTGAGAAACAAATAGCAATGAGACAGTTTGAAAACCAATTAGTAGGACAGTTTCAATACTTAATACATTGCATATTGTTGTCTTAGTGGTTATTCATTGTACAAGATGCAGACATGATATCCTGTCTACAAACATTATTAGAACAAATCTGGGGACAGGATTCCTGCAGCTTTATCTGTTTTGTGGGATTGGAACTGAACATGCCCTCACAGAGCACTTACCTACTGTAGAGCATACAAAACTGGGAATTACACTCTGTTAATGTTCATCCGACCAGTTACAGCTCTGCACTCTAATATGTAAGCTAGGTGGCACGGGACCTCTGCTCTTTGGAGGATCTGCTGGAAGCCTTAGAGTAGAGTGTGAGCCAAGCAGACAAACCAGTGAATCCTTAATGCTTTTTATAACAGCCTTTATTTCTGGGCTGGCTTTGGGAGAGAGAGAAAAGGAGACTGAAAACCAATCTTTTGTACTATGGTCTTTGTGAGGCATCAGCTTCCAGAACCACTGGATTTCAGTTCTGAAGAGAAGGCTGTTGGTGGCTCTGAGCTGCTGCTGGGACCTGGAACGTGGGGCCTGAGGATGGACCCTGAGACTGAAGCCGTGAGGGACTGGAGGCTGGAGCCTGGGAGTAGGCTTCGAAGGTGGTGCTGGATTCTTGGCTCCAAGATCACCCATGGCTACCTGCTCTGGATAGTTTTTTCTATCCACCATTTGAATTTGCAGAGGTTCGTGTAGATGCCTGTAAATCCAGGTCGCCCACAGGGAGGGAGTCCCCAGGACACAAGGCCCTGCAGAAACCCACGGCAGACCAAGGGACTTCCAGAGTCTCCCTGTTGAAGGAAGAGATTTAGGGATGGTGGAGAGGATAAATGCTGGAGACACACACAAAAGTCAGAAGCACAGAGGCAAAGGAAAGAGGGAGAGAGCAGGGCAGAAATGCACCCAGGCTTACTGTCTGTGAGCCTGAGACAGAAGCAAGGGAGACAGACCAGCAGGCCTCAGAGACACATGGGGTGCAGCAACCATAGGAGATGGGGAGATAAACTGGTTCCCTGGTGATGCCCCAAGACAGTGAAGGCACAAAGACTAGAGGGCCCAACTGGAGGGTGATACCCCTAAAACCCAAGCCATCAAACCATAGCATTGTAGGCAGGCAGACCAAACCCTGCCTCTCAAAAGACAGCTCTCTCCCAGGCCTTGGAAAGGCCCCCTAAGGAGCTCCACCCCTGCCTGCATCTACTTTTCCAGTCCTGGCTGAGGTCTAGTGGGCTGTGGAGACTGGAAGAGGGCTTGGGGCTGGGAGTCACTGGAGTTGAGGTGAGCTGTGCTTGGCAGTAGGTCCTGGATTCTGAATGTAGTCACCAGTCTATTCTCACAGCTGTGCTCGGTCTCCCAGAAACCTCCTGCTGTCACTCCCAGGGTCTCTCTTCATCTCCTGTGTCTCAGCACAAGGGCTTTGTGTCTCTTTGCTGGCTCATTATTCCTCATGTGTTCTCCTTACCCCTCTGTGACCTCTGTGCCCTGAGTCTCTAGTTTCCTTCTCACCCTCCCAGTTTCTTCTTTCTGATTTTCTCTGCATCTGCATCTCCCCAGAGTCCTCTAAGACCTGAAAGCTTCCCTCATTCCTTCACAGCTTTGTGCCCTCTCTGTGTTGTATACCCCCATCTCAGTTGTAAAAGCCCACCTCTCTGTCCACGTCTCTTACCTGGCAAGAATCCTTGATGCTCTCACCACCAGCACAGAACATAGTGTGGTCGTAGGAATCCTGGTACAGTTTTATGCAGGATTCCTTTGACACCACTGGAATAAGTGTACACTGAAGAACATCTGGGTGTTGGCCTGTGACAAAGGCAATAAGGTTAGACACACTCCTGGGCAGAGACAGCCACGTTATCAGTAAGTCCAGATACATACAACACTCAAACGCACCATCCAATAGCCGACCCCAGCCAGAGATCCAGCACCTGGTTCCAGGTTTGGGACATTGGGAGGAGACGGAGATGATGCGGATGGTGCTTGTTTCCACAACTGGCTTACTCAACTTAATGAGCATGAGGTCACTGCCATTCCAATGGCTATAGAATTTTGGGTGTGGCACGGATATGTTGGCCTCCAACATCAGACTGCCTGGTTCATATGGTGGGTCACGTCTATGCAGGCCCAGCCCAATGGTGTAGGATCTGGGGGCGATGCAAGTCAGTACAATGTTAGCTAAGTTCTGTCCAAAAGCTCAAACCCACATGCAGGCCCAATTCCAATCTTTCCCTCACCCCAAACTCACCCTCAGCATCGGCCTCAGTCCCACCCCCACTCCCAGTTTCCATCATGTCCTGATCCATCCGTGGTGCCAGCCTCACATGCACTTTGACAGCACCCAAATCCCATTCCTGTCACCACACCCAGCTTCTCCCCAAATTGCAACTATTAGGGTTGGGACAAGAAAAGCATTGGCTAAGTTGTACACGTAGGGGGCCCCTAACTCAGAAAAAAACAAGATAAATAATAAGTCTTTATAATCTTTTCACATTCAAATTTAATGTTCCACAATGAACAAATATCAGAAATTGAATAGAAGACAGATTTGATGGTGCACCTCGACCTACCCACATGTCCCTGGATCCTGCTTTATTTCCAGTGTGGATATTTTGTCCATCACAGATGTTTGCAGTAGTATTAATTTGTTTAAAATAGTACACTGAGATATTTATCCCAGTGAGGGAGCTTTTTCCTTGTCTCACCCTATAACCTCACTTGCAGCCATGTGCATATCTCACTCCCCACCCAAGTGGCTCTGTCCTCACCTGTCTCTCTCCCCTTGTCCTGTGTTCTGCGCACCCAGTGACAAGAGGTCCCTTGTCCACACCACCTGGCTTCTAAAGGCTGCAGTGAGATCCAAGCCTGCTTCTATCAAGCCACCTCCTCCTCTGCACTTTCATGCTTGGGTCAAGCCAAGGGACCTGCATGGCTTCTCTTCCCTCACACTGGAGTCTCTGCTTGTCCTTCATACCCAGCAAAGAGAGGTAAATTCTCCTCCAGTCTGGGGAAGTGGCTCCCTCACCATATGTCCCTGCCATTTGAACTGTAACTCCAAACTTCCTCCAAGCCTAGGGTTTGAAAGTCTCATTCCTGGCACAGTCCAGCCTCTTTGGCAGGGGTTCACTCCTTGGTCCAGCCTCTCTGCAGTAGTAGAAACCCACCTTCAGCCATGACCCAACCCTCTCCGATGGAACCCCAGCCTAAGCCTTCAAACTCACAGCTTTGCAAGCCCCGCCCACATGGTCCCTCCCAAAAGAAGCCACTCCCCACCCGGTCCAGTCCTCTACCCATCCACCCCTAACCCCCTCAATCACCCTCCCTCTGCTTGCTCACGGCCTCCAACAGTGCGCAGCTGTCAGCACCCACTGGGGATGCACCAGAGCTCCTGAGCAGTATCCATCATTGTTGTAGAACAGTGCTGCCTGCCAGGGCTGCGAGTGTGGAAAGCAATCAAAGCCACCAGAGATGAGTTCGCTGACCGGGGGAAGCTGATCTGGGAGCTCTCTGCCACTTCCTTCAGGGAGAATCACAGCTCCTAGGGGCAGGTTCAGCACACAGTGCATTCCTTGGGTGGGTGGGATCCAGTGGAATCCGGAAGTGGATCCCATAGGTGTCTGGTGGTTCAAGGTTACTAAGGCACAGGTTATATCAAGAGGACCAAGCATGGGCATGGTCTGAGGCTCCGCCTCTGGAGCCAAGCAGGACAATTCCGAGGCCAGACATCCTCCTTTGAGCATTAGGCTTCTAAACTGTGCTCCACCATTCCATGGGGTTGACCCAGAGCAATGGCACTAGTGCCCTTACCCACAAGGGACCGCTGTGTAGAGCAGAGAACTGAGGCCACCTGATTCTGTTTGCTTGACATATAGAGTGGAAAACAGGGCACAGGGCACAGTCAATACCCTTCCCGGACCCCAGCCCTCTGCACAGCCACCTTCTCTTGGGCCTCAGGTGGGGTGTCATCTGCAGGGAAGGAAGAAGCTTTCATACTTTGCTTATCTGCGAGCCAAGAGACAAGGCTCTGAAACAGTGCTTTCCCAGTTCTAATTACAGCTAATATCTAGTTACTGACCCATGCTGGAATCAGGAAACTGTGGCATAGAAACATTAGGGATTTTCCCTGCTGAGAAGAAGGAATGATGGGTTCTGCATCCTGTTCCTGCCTCTCCACAGCCTACTTTTCTAGCCTGGTGTTATGCAGACACCCAGGTGTCCTAGAGATAGGGCAAGATTCCACACAGACTACCCTTCACCCCCAGACTCAGATACCTGCAGTCATGTGGATGATGGATCCCAAGAGACAGACCCAGAGGGTTTGTGCCATGGTCCTGTCAGCACCTGGTGAGGAAGGGACGAGGTGATTCTGGGCCTTCCTCTGCCCTTTCAGGAGCAGCCAGAAGGGACCCATCCAGCCTTGTCTGAGATTCTGGCCACAGAACCATAACATAGGTCAGAGATTCTCACCCTCTGCATTGCTGACGTCATCTACCCATGGACCCAGGACATCCCCAGAATGCCCTGATGACCTTGAGACATTCCCCTTGCACACTGCTGACTGTTGGGTGTGAGCCTTTATGCTGGGCACACCCTGTGTCCTGCAGTATGTGTTATACCCAGTTCCAGCTGCTCCATCCCCGCCCCTGTCCCAGAGGAGAAAACCAAAAGCCCCATTCACTGTCCTGGTCCTGGGAAAAGACAGTGTGAGATCTACCTGTCAGGAGGAAGAAAGGCAGGGAAACTGAGGAAGGAGTGATAGTGAGAACAAGAGATAGAGACACCAAGACTGAGGCTGAACCCTGGAACAGGGAAGATGGGGACCAGACACAGAAGTCCCAGGGTCGTGAAGCTGAAGGATACTGAGATGGAAATACAAGTATTCTCAGCAGAGTTTCATGGCCCAGCCCTGTGCCCAGGCATTGCACTGAGCGTGGGACATGCAGTGACTCACTTCTCCAGCCAGTTCAGGAAGCAGGTCCTGTTAGTATCTCCATTTGACAGAGAAGAAGAGATAGACAGGCTGAGCAACAAGTGCAAAAGGACTCTAGATATTGTCCTCTTATAATCTCACTGAAACTGTTCATGGTGACACTGCCTGCAATCCCAGTGCTCTGGGAAAGAAGGATCTCAAACCCTTGCTGTCCACTGAGTCAAAGCAATGATCTAAGACCAAGAGGGAGACACACACAGCAGAAAAGAGGCTGGGACTCAAAGTTCAGGAAGCACAGAGCAAGAGGCACAGGCAGGGAGAATGCAGGGTAGTTCACCTGGCTTTGGCTCCTGGGGTCTCAGCATACAGCTGTTCTATGTGGGCTGACCTCTGTGGGCTGCTAGATGTCCAGAGCCTTCGAGGGTCTTATGAGGATCAGAACGGGGGCTGTCCTGCCCTAGGGCTACCTGAAACATTACGGCCTCAAGGTAACATTTCTCTGGATGCACTCCCTGAAGCTGTCCTGTTTCTAATCAGATCAGCAAACATAGAGCAGGGGTAGGGAGAGGGAACCCCTGAAACAAGTGAGCACCCCCGGCTGGTTTCTAGAACTCTGGCTCTGCGAGCTGTCTCTCAGATGTTTCCTCCAGTCTATTGCTGGTTGCTGCCCTTAGCCTTCTGTAATCAACTTTCTGACTTGGATTCTCCTTCTTGAAACTCCTGTACACAATATCTACATTAAGTTAAGCAAACAAATATGGAACCAGGATAATCAGGGAATTGCATCTAGTGCCTTTTCATGGAGCTCCAACAAAACCATCTTTTTATTTTTTGTTTGGTATCAGAGTCTTCAAGTTGCCAAGTTACCCAGGCTGGGCTCGAGCTTGAGATCTTCCTACTTCAGTTTTCCAGAGAGCTGTCTACACATTGTGTATTTTTCTCTCCTAGTGATCCACCCGACATGGTGTGCAATCCAAACCTCTGGATTACAGCCACACAGGATGCCTAATTCTTGAACCCAGCAGGAAGTTTCACACCTGCCTTAGGCTGTGAGCTAGCTGTTCCTTTTTCCTGCTGTCTCCGTGGGTCACATCATTTTGCTTTCAAAAAATTTCTGAGGTGTAATGGTTTGTGTCTGATAGACCCCTGAAAGCCAAATTAGGTCACTGATGGCAGCCATTTTTGAGGTGGTTGAATCCAGAGTGGTAGCTAACTCATTGTCTCGTGCTGGCATTGTGGGTGTAGTGCTACCCAAACCTTAGGGCGGGTATCCTGCATACAATACAAGGGACAGAGAAGAGGCTCACTCACTATTTTGCTCTTGTTGCTTTTATATTTTCTGTTGTCATGAACTGTTGCCCCTTTGCCACATCACCCTGCCTTGGAACCAGCTGATAATAGATGGCAACCTCTACAAACTCTGAGATAAACAATCCTTCTCCTCCTTAACTTTGGATATCAGGCATTTTGTCCCAACATTGAAGGAAGACGTCTACAACTACAGCTTCTCTAACAGCAATGTAACACTCATCTCTGACATAACAAAACAAAAACAGGGGATATAAAGAAAGGATCCTTTTGTAGTGAAAAAAAAACATATATATGTATTTACAAATAGTTAGGATAGATATACAGCTACTTTCTCTTAGTTCAGTGAGAAGAAATGTTTGTACTAATATTGTTTAGACAAGATATCATGTCTGCATCTTGTCCTCTTAATAATCACTATGAAGACAACAGTATGTAATGTATTAATTATTGTAACTGTCCAACTAAACTGTTTTGAAACTGTTTCATTGCTATTTTATTTTCTCATTAAAATGAATAAAAAATTAAAAAGAGAAAAGTAAGACAAGTAGTAATTTACATATAGTAAAATTCACTCTTTAAGGTCACGATTCTGCAAATTCTGACCTGTGAACCAAATATAACAAGCAGACATTAAGATGTGGAACTTTTCATCACCTGCACAAACGCTCCTGTGACCCCTCCAATCACTTGATCCTGTTTTCTGCCCCATGCTGTTTTTTTTCTCTGCAATGTATTCTTATTTCTAATTTTTTATTTACTTATTTTCTATTCATTTTAATGAGAAAAAAAGATAAAATATGCTGGTAGTTTTGAAATCGAGGAAGCGAAGTCCTACAGGACATAGTTTTCACACCCTGTCCTTCAGACCCTCCCTGTGTGTGTACCATGCCTCATCCCCTTTCCACATGAAGAGAATTCCATGGACTGCAAAGACCTGTTTATGTATCCACTGCCTGGTTTTTCCATCACTTGACCCCCTTTGAATATCACCCATATTCCTCATATTGAGGTCCCTTGTTAACTTACAATGTGGGATTTGTATTAATATGCACTACTCTGAGAACACATGGTGGGGCATATCTCACTTATTTCAGTATTTATCTGTTTTATTGGATCTCTTTTCTATTGTCTATATCTCTCAGCTACAGAGGACAAGAGACTTTGATAGAGGTGTTCACTGGTTCATCTTAAGTTTCTAGAACTGCACTGGACTCCTAGTGGGTGCTTCAGGAATGCATGTTGAACGAAGAAAACTAAATAAACAGTCTCTGACAGTGTCTTTCAATCTGTAGGGATATTGTCTGCCTGGATAATTCTCTCTGATCTCCTCTCTCTCTCTCTCTTCTCTCTCTCTCTCTCTCTCTCTCTCTCTCTCTCT